CTGGTGTTGGGTCTGTCAGGGGGGGACCACCTGACGCCCCCTTTACTGTGTGTGTGTGTGTGTGTGTGTATGTGCATGTGTCTATTTGTGTGTGTGTACGTGTGTATGAGGTGGTGATCAGTGTCATTTTGGTGTCTGACATGCTCTGGTGACACATGTAGCACAAACACAAAGCACTGGACACATCCAGGCATATCACTGATTGACGGGTCCTGTTGGACCAGCCAGACAGGGTCCTCTTGCCCAAGTCAAAATGTCAAAATATATTATCCTGCATCAGTATCTTCAGAATATATGATATTGTGATTATAAATAATTATTGTCTTATGTTTACAGGTGGTCCTGTGATTCAAAAATATATAATTAACTCAAGTGATGTTTCCAATGCAAATTATAATAATTTTAGTGCCACAAACTTAGTATTATTGATGTGAACTTTGCTGAAGATTATGCATCTCACAGTTTTTTTCAGCATATCATGTTGCTAAAACAAACGATGCATGTTATTTGACCACAGAGGATCAGATGGAAACTTCTTGTAGTTGAGCTAGTACAAGCAGTTTGACTGTTGTTATCCCTATCATAAAAGACATGACACCAACCTTACATACAGTGAACAATGGGCTAACATTGTGGTCTGGATGTTGGTTTCCCAGTTCTGCAGCCTCAGGCCAGGCCAGTTGCTTTGGGAACACCTGCACATAGCTAGTTAACTAAGTGCAGAGAAGATGCTTCCACAGAGTTCATCAATTATGGATGAGTTGAGAGAACTTTGACATGTTAAACCTCTTAGAGCGTCTGAGGCGGAGGAGCTGCGCAGGGGAGCAGAGAGTGAGAGAAGAGTGAGAATAAGACTCAGCTTCAGCATTAATGTCATATTGTCCACTTTGATCGGGGCTCAATGGCATAATGCATGAGGAATAATGGACACACTTTAGCAGGAGGCTCTGTGAGGGACATGATTTGGTGATTAACATAATGCACATGTCCACTCGCTGGCATTACCTTTTTATTATCTTTCGCTCCTGGACCTGGCAGAAACGAGCAACTACAAAGTCAAACAGGCTTTTCTCCTTTCAAAATAAAGCATGTAATATTATAACATAACCTCTTAAGCATTAATCAAAGGCTGGGAACAGTTGCTCTACGTTTAGAGTGAAATGTTTGATATTGTTAATGATAAAACATTTGTTATAATAATTTTGAGATGAATATGCAAAAGCAGGCAGCAGATCTTGCGCAACTGAATGTGTGAATATTTCACAAAAGGCTGATGTCAAAAACTATATGAAACAATTATAACAATTGAGAATGAAATCTTAAAAAATGATCAAACAATAAGAACTGAATCTTTTCACGTTTTTACATTTTGTTGTTAACCAAACAGCTTCTTCCGACCGAAGTTTGTTAATAGTGAATTCCAACAGGTGCGTGGTGAATATCATCGCCGGCACAACCACTACCAAACTCTGATATCTCATACGAAGAAGTTTATTAAGACACCCAGGATTGACATTTTTAAAATAGCCAGAACGTCCCAATAAAGTCCCCATCTCATGTGCCATGAAGTCCTTGCAGTCCACGCTTCGCTCATGCAAAAACCATTAACGCTTTAGGCCCAGAAGACTAGATGAGTAAACAAAACATGGCTGCTCGACAGAAGAGAGACGGAACACGGCGAGAAGATCGTTCCAGATCAATATTCCATTTGGACCCCAGCAGCAGACTATAGAGGGGAGATAGGCTAATGTTTTGCTGGATAAGCATTGTTTGTGCATGTGTGTGGAAGAATGCTCGGACATTATTTCTACGAGTGCAGAAAGGAGAAAACATGAGGCCTATTGGAGCCTGGGAGCTGCTCCAGGGTTCGAATCACAAAACATGAAGCAACTGTCTTCAGCAATTCAGGTCACATCAGGTTTGCCTTCAACCAAAAAGTGATGACAACAAGAATCCTGTCCATATACTGGACAGACAATAAAAGATTAAATATCTGCTTTTATATTGTTGCTTTATGGTGTTCAATAAGCTAGAACTTTAAACCACAATCAACATGAACCATAATGCATTGTCTTAGTGTCTTTGGGAATAAAAAAATTAAATGCATAAGCTTGAATGCATGGTCTTCAGTATCATTTTAAGGGTACAGTGGAAGCTTGTATTTATTATTGCGTATCTTTTTCTGTGACACAAATATCAAACATATCAATTAAAGGAACATATTTAGAGCTGGCAACCATTCCTTTATTTAGATTTTTTTTTTTTCACATGTATTATTTATCTGATAAAAATGGCTGAAGCCATTCTTGGTCAACAAAACACAAGTCTAGGGATAATTCATGGACTAAAAAGGGGGCCAAATACATAATTATGCATCTGACCCAAACTGTCCAACAGCAAAACTTGAACTTGAAAACTTGAATAATGTCGGCAAACATACATAGGGATTAATAATGAGTTTGACCAGGATGAAATATACAGTAATACCAAAATATGCAGCCATTTTGCTCCATAAGTTTTCAAGGTTGCAGTTTTCACATACAAATGGTTGTATTTTTTTTTAAAATATATATATAGTCGACTAAAACAGAATTTGGTCGTCAAATAAACTATCGACCAATTAATCGACTAAACGACTACATTTTGACAGAATAATTGTTTTCTTATTTTTCTTTTATTCCTCCGCTTTTTCCCATTTTCATAAACTTGAGTGAGTGTTTGAGATTCTTCCTTTTGCACAGCCTTCTCCCGGCTCTCAGTGCGCGCACGCAGCAAGCACACTGGAGCAGAACCCGCTGCTTGTGGCTCATTAATCAACGACAGATTATCAGGAAAGTGACACGTCCGTGATTACAGCGGCTCTGGGAACTTTTTCATATGACTAGAATTGAAGCAGAGATGCAAATGAGCAGCTATAGCCCTTCCGGTGGGCACAGGCTGACGGGACAAAAACGCACCTTTCCGTTAAGAACAAACTCTTATTTCCAAACTGCAGCTCAAACAAGTGCAGACACTGGACACAGTTGTATAAAACAACAGCTTTGAACTCGTGCTGTATTTCCAATGAGTTCATGGTGTCTCCGAGTCTCTGAGTGCCCCGCAGTGCACTTTTGCCTCCTAACATCTGTCCAAGAAAGAAAGAAGAAAAACAACGAGTAGAAGCTTTTCTTTTAATCTTTAAACGCCCAAACAAGCATGAACTCCTGCTGTCGCCTTCATTCCCGTCTAAAAGCGAATACTAGTGCGCGTAAATATTTCATCCAATTCGTCCGACAACACGATGGGTAATGAAAAGACATGGGCGAGCTGGAAGAGTGAAGAATTTATCCCAACTCAAATAAATTGCATGAAACAGGAGAGTGTGGTTTTATGCAAAAGGCCGAGAATTAGGGCCTGTTAACATACGTGCATGAAGGCCTACAATTGAGCCTTTTAGAACTGTAAAAGTGTTCAGAATAAATTGTCTCTGGTTAATGCGATGCATGTCACATTAACCCCATTGAATTAGAAAGTCCGAATTAATAAGACAAAATGCTGTGCGTGTCTTTGAGAAGGACTGCACGCTCCAGCGCGTCAGTGTGTTGTTAATATTATGGTGGCATTAGTGTTAGTGCAAATTAAAAAGCGCACATTGATCCTTTGCCCCCTGTTCAAACACTTAATGCAGCCATTTGATCCAGGAACTAACCCCCATAATTCAATTTGTCCAAATGAATGAGCCATATCTGTCATTTGTCTCCCCCAAAGACAAAAGTTACCACATTGCTCCGCATTGTTTAATGCACGTTTTCCTCTCATCTGTAATGAAAGCGCGCAATTATTGCAAAAGCACGGGTATCATATTATTATTATGTTGGCCCTGGTCCCCAAGATAGTCATCAATCACTCTCAATCGACCTGTCACCGGCAGGCAAACATCCAACTGGAGAGCGCAGAGGAAAGGAGAGGCGGGCGAGAGGAGGAGGAGTACATCATCATTAATTTGAGGAGTGACCCCCGGGGCTATCCACATGTCTCAACCCGGAGTTCTCCAAAAACTCAAACTCACCAAATCATACAGCTCAGCACTGATAGATAGATAGATAGATAGATAGATAGACATATAGACAGATAGATAGATAGATAGATAGTGGTGAGATATATATATATGTGTGTGATAGATAGATAGATAGACATATAGACAGATAGATAGATAGTGGTGAGATATATATATATATATATATATATATATAATATATATATATATATATATATATATATATATATATGTATTGTATATATATATATGTGTGTGATAGATAGATAGATAGATAGATAGATAGATAGATAGATAGATAGATAGATAGATAGATAGATAGATAGATAGATAGATAGATAGATAGATAGATAGATAAATAGATAGATATTGGCTCATATATTCATGAGCCATACTGCAACACTGCACTTTGGAGAAAATACTGACATGAAAGTATACAGTAATTAAAAACAGATCTCTCTTTATTTCATATAGTTGACACAAAAGTTTACATCATCTATGTGTTGTATTTATGTCTTTGTACCAGTATTATGTGTGGAGACAGGCATAAAATAGTTACAGCCTTCTTATTTTGTAGATGGAAACTTCTGACGTCATAGTGGCTCCCTCTTAAAACTACCTCCCGCCGCTGCTGACGTCCTTTAAAACACTTTTTATAAGGAAAAATATGAGTCTGACACAAAGCCATTATTGTACATAACCAAGGCGCGCCTTTTTATGTATTTCCAACTACAGGTTCAAAAAGAAGAGAAAGGCGGAGATTCTTTATTTTACTTCCCTCTTCTGCGGCGCGGGAGTGGGGGGGCATTTTACACAAATTAAACATGCTACTCTGCTTCGCCCTATAAGCATCCAGGAGACTGTGCTTACCAATCAATTGGTCCAGTCAAACTGCAGCGCAGCCCGCGCGTACTGGAGACCTGCAGTCTCGCTTTATTTCTGGAAATTGGGGGACCTCTCTACCATGTCATATCCACAATTTGGATATCCATACTCGTCTGCTCCACAAGTAAGTCTTCTTTTCTAAATATGTTTTGTTTAAACTATGGATTGTGTCGTGCACATTTTACGCACAGATCGAACAGCCTTCTATAGAGACGATGCCGCGTTACAAAGAGTTTCATGTAGACATTTAGGGCTTTGTAAGCGGAGACCACCAGGACCCCGAGCCGATGTTACAGATTTCTGAAAGATAATCACGCCCTGTATGTTAACCATGTGTTTATCTGCACTCACACGCAGATGCCAACTTGTTCCGCGTGCTGCATGTGATACATGGCACAGCTGTTGTTTTATTCTGGCGTGGTGCCATTAAACCATGTGGGCATGTTTGAAGTATTACAGCGGTGTGAACATGTTTTATCGCTTTATGATCTTTTTATTTCCGTTGTATAGTCATTAATCCCGTCCATGTTCCATTTAGGGTATATCATTTATATTGACATGACCTGCAGTTTTATTCAGATCATCATTTTAGAAATGGAAACACAGTGAATAAAGTTTTGAAGTCACTCAAATCTCCAGCATGGTGTAAAGTTTTGCAAAAGCTCTCTTTGAACGTGTTTATTATATTTGATTCCCTAGTTTCTGATGACAACCAACTCTCTAACCACTTGCTGCGAGTCCTCTGGCCGGTCCATAGCGGACTCGGGCGTCGCCGCCACGGGACAGACTCCGGTGTACTGTCCGGTGTATGAGAGCCGGTTGTTGGCCACGGCGAGGCATGAGCTCAGCTCGGCTGCAGCGCTGGGGGTCTACGGCAGCCCGTACGCCGCCACGGGACAGGGCTATGGGAACTATGTCACCTATGGCACGGACGCATCAGCTTTCTATTCTCTGGTAAGAGGCGCATGTAGCTGTGATGTAGACAGTGATGAATGGAGACCACGCTCGGAGCAGCTCACCACCAGTTTAATGTATTTCCAATATCTAAAGTTGAATAAACAATGTTTAGAGTAAATGTGAGAAAATGCATTCTTTTTCAATTATACATTTTATCCATTTTATATGTAAAAATATTTCTATGAAAACTAATTTTGTTTTAATCTACATATTGTAATTAACATTCACCAACTGAACAAAGTATTTTGGATACAAATCTGCACTGTGAAGAGTATAGGCATGCATTACCATTGGATTGATTTAATTTTTTTAAAGTACAGATTCATGTAAATGTTAAAAAAAATATGTGTTTGTGCATCTGCAGGGTACATTCGACACTAAAGATGCCACTGCATCTGCACATGCGGGAATAACCCAGACAACAGCATATTACCCCTACGACCCAACCCTGGGACAGTACCAGTACGACAGGTAATATCTACAATTTAAAAAATAACTTATCGGTGAAGTGCTGTAAATGCCCATTGTTATGCTCCACTCCAGTTCTCCTCTAAATTGCATGCGGGCCTTTATGTCTGAAGTTTTAATTTAATTATCACAATTTATTTGGAGATCTAAGGCCAACTTAGATTTTAACAAGTATAATATAAGTAAGTGAGTCATCTTAATCACATTCACATTGCTTCAATATAATACAAAACCACAAGCAACCTAAAATGCCTAAACGACTTCAGGGATTTTACTAATTGCTCTACAAACTGTTATTGATGTTTAATTATAGACTCTCAAAGCCCGATAAACTATTTTCTATAAAATCACTGACCATGTGTCAGTGTCAACAAAAACCCTAATGTGTTTCTGTAATTTAGCTGGCACCATAAGCATTAGAGGCCTAACAGCAGCTCCTCTGTGCCTGAGCCTGCCTTTTACCTGCGGGCTCATCGTTACACTCAATAAAGCAATTTTACACACTGTTTTATCTGCGAGGGCAACAGCGCAGGGTTAGAAGAGGGCCATGGCTATCGAGGAAGCCTTGTTATACCACTGCGAGGCTAAATGAAAAGCAGTAGCCTCTACATTTAACAGAATATCAGAATTGGCAGATGTGAAATCAAGAGTGGGTGTGTGTTTGAAAGAAAATGTACAAATATGTCACGTTAATTACTCTGTGTTTATAGATATGGGTCTATGGATGGGGGGACCAGGAGGAAGAACGCCACTCGAGAGACCACCAGCACGCTAAAGGCCTGGCTGCAGGAGCACAGGAAGAACCCGTACCCCACTAAAGGAGAGAAGATCATGCTGGCCATCATCACCAAAATGACCCTGACCCAAGTGTCCACGTGGTTCGCCAACGCCAGGAGGAGACTCAAGAAGGAGAACAAGATGACATGGCCCCCCAGGAACAAGGGCTCAGATGACAAGAGATATGATGAAGACGAGGAGGGCTCACAGGAGGATCATATCAAGAGCGAGAACAATGATGATGGTCAGTGTTCATTTAATTATTATAAAAGTAAAAATTAAATATGCTATACTAGAAAAAAAAACAGTAAAGCTAAAAAAATACAGTACGGTAAAACAAATAGGACTACAGATAAAGAAGATTTCACGTGGAGGTCACAATAATTATATACTGTGAACAAGTTAATTAGATATATCTTATATTGTTGAACCCACAAATAACAATGTGCTGATTTGGTATGATTGTATTTATTTAATTAACCAACAACTGTAAGTGAAATCAAGCTCATCTGTAAGATTTCACAATAAACATTTAAAATGTCAATATATTTTTTTATTATTTCATTTACAGTATTATTATCAAAAGTGTGCTAACATTATCATCTAAATGTGGTTGTTGAGTATCGGCATTTGAATTAACCCTGTTCATATTTGAAATATTATACCTCATCATGTTTTATTTGCAGTTTTTGGAGCCATTTCTGTTAGTCAAGTCTAATATTTTTGTAATTGTTCAATATATTTAACAGCTCAGTTAATCCTTATAAACTTCATCATCATTTTCCCAGGCCAAATGTTTGTCTAAGCTTCTTGATACTGAGCCTTGTCAAGGGTGAAGAGTAATTGTATTGCACATCCATATTAGATCAAAACCTCTATAAATGACATATGTATTGGTTTGTCAACTATAATGTACTCTGTATGTTCCCTCACAGAGACCAGGAGTCGCCACGATAAGGACCTCCAGCTCAGCGACTTGGATGACTTTGAGGCTCTGGAGTCAGAGAGCTCTGAGTGCGAACTGAAGCATCGCTACCACCTCAACACCCACATGTCCACCACCGAGCTGCCCAACGAGCACCTCATCAAAGACGTGCCGCTCAAACTGCCCGCTCAACTCGAGCAGGATTTGACTAAAAACTGTCTCAAAACCAAGGTTGAGGACTTTCAGGGGGACTCCAGGCAACCGGGCAAAACCTGTTATTCGCAGCAGCAAATTCTCGACGGAAAGCCGCGAATTTGGTCCCTGGCTCAAACAGCCACATCTCTGAATCAGACTGAATTCCCTTCTTGCATGTTGAGATGCCAGCCGCCACCCCCCTCATCAATTAGCCCCTCCCCCAGCACCACCTCGCCCTCCTCTGGGCTGGATACACGGCAGGACTCGCCCGTCACCACACTGCGGAACTGGGTGGATGGGGTGTTCCATGACCCCCTCTTCAGGCACAGCACTTTGAGCCAGGCGCTGACCCACACCTCGGTTTCCTGGAGCGGCGATACTAAAGGCGCCGCCCTGCTGGAGTCAGACAGAAGTGCACTGAGCTTACAGCACCAGGACTCTGCGAAGGACGCTGCCATGAATCAGTTTCCCAAAAGCATGAACAAACTGTTCTGCTCCTAACATAGGGGACACTGCGGACTTCTAAATATTGTACCTGCATCATGTCTCATTTTGAAGCAGAAAACGTATTATTAACAACCGGATTTTTCAGCTTTAAGGCACACACAAACGTTATCAAAATGTATATTGGAATTTTACACACTGGATTTAAGCCCCTATATGTGTTCTTTTTACGGTGAGCATGCAAAGTTAAATAATAAAAAAAAAAGATGTAGGCCTCAATAGCCTATTAACATCACTATAAAAAAGGAAGAAAAACAATTCACAAATGCACAGCTCTTGAGGAACTGAAAGTGAGAGCATTTCAACTTTGTTCACTGCAAATAAACCTGGTCTTTTTCGTAATTATGTTGTGATTATATGTTGCTGACCATGGTGCTGAAATCCCCACAGTGGCACAGCCCACATGCACATATTTCCACATTTCAAAAGCTGATAGTAGAAATGCATTTACTTTCTGTTTCAAACGGTATAAAAATACTTGATAATTGAATCTATGTTTTGGTAATGTAATTTGTTTGGTCAAAAAAAGAACAAGATTGACATTCTCAAAGTAAATTTATCCACAACTATTCTAGTAAGGTCTTTCTGATTGACCCTGCACTGCAAGAAGCTGCTGTGGATTTTCAGCAAAAAGAACCATTGTTCCCTCCATCTCCCGTTCACATTACGTTGTAAAGTAAACATTTTGTTAAAATGACAATTTCCATTGTTTAATTACACGTAATTGTCAGTCTATTGAACTTATCCGTTTCCTTTCAAGCAGAAAGCAGTAATTTTGATTCAGTGACAGCCCAAAATGAGGCGCCCCAGCCTGGAGACAGAACAATATCAGTATCTAAGATCTGCCTCATTAATTCCCTCTAAACAGGCTGTAATTGGGATGTTCACAGTCATATTTCATGTCAGTCTATTGATTTCCCTTCTGCACCCTGTGATAATATTATCGAAACATTTCAACACTGCCATGATGCGGCTGTCAAAAGGGTAAGTTATTCGCTGCCTATTAATAGGTTCAAAACCGAGGTCTGATGCAAAATCATTGGAAGTTTTGACATTAACCCCCACATCAAGAAATAGGTGTGTTTTTCCCTTCCTCTTTGACTAGAGAGAGCCCTGACGTGGTGGAAAAGTGAAAAGGGCACGAGAACTCGAATTAGTTGTTGTAGATAAAAGGGCAAAAAGAAAAGAAGTCAAGGGTACTTGACAGTAATGGCGAAAGTGGAGCTCTCGGGGGACTCTGTCTGTCCTATGAGAGGAGGAGGGGGCAGTGATGAATTTTAATGGGAAAAGCGCAGACGATTGAGATCTCCCCCCTGGAAAATGGTGGACTTTGGGGATTTGATACAACACAGATAAAATGTTCTTTTTCTACATGTTGCTTTCAAATATAAAAATACATGCAGCATATATATATTTTTGTGAAATACATACAGACATTAAGGGGGAACAGTGTTAAAAAAAAAGGAAGGTATTGGCACACTTTCATCTCTTCATAGCCTTGGAGCAAAGTGGGCTATTTAATTTTTCATGGACACTGATAGTAAATTAGGACAGGATTTAAGTCCCAGATGATAATAGAATGTAACCTCTGCATTTAATTAATTTACCATGAAGACATATTGTATTAGAGCCCGGATCAAAGTCGATTTTTATTTGAGTGAAAAAGACGTGCAGTGCAACAGAGGGAAGAAGAAAAGGACACACAGCAGTCGGAGAAGAAGGGGGAGCGGAGGCCAGCTATAACTAAATCATTCAGCCATGACAAATACGAACACACACAGGGAGCGAGATGTTAAATTAACAGGAGCTTTTTACATAGAGACCAAATAAAACTGTAATCAGCCACGCGTTACTTTTCATTAAGCAGCTTTGACAGCAGCATCAGGCCTGAGCCACCCTCAAACGCGGAAAGTGGCAGAGTAAAGGAGATGTGCGCGGGTAAAAAGGGGGCGTCCGGGGGTTGAAATAAACTGCTCCTCAAGCCGAGAGTCATAAGATAATTCCTTAAGCTCCATTAACAACTCTTAGCTGCAGGAAATGGGCTCCCCTGAAAACATCTCCAAATCTAAAAGCTTTATCGACCTGGCAAACCTCGGCTGATGGCTTCTCTCTTTGCACCCCCCTCTCTCTCTCTCACCCATCTTTGCCTTCACTCTTTTTTTTTTCAACTTAAGGGACACAAACGTCCAACTGAGGTAATAGACTTTGACACAACACATTAAATGGGAAATGAGAAAAGGGAGAAGAAAGGGCACTCTTAAACGCCTTTTAAACGATACCAATTAGAGGTTTAAAAGTTGAATAAGATGTAGGCCGGTGGCATTCGTCTGACTGATGGGACGTTTAACTCACTACCTTGCCTACTCAGAGAAATCCCAGGTGTTGTATAATGCTTTGAGACCAAGTCGTGTCTGCCCCCGTGACTAAAGTGCCTTCAAACACATGAGCATTGTTTATACCGGTGTACGAGGCCCACACAAAACCCTGACCAAAACAGTGCGATCAGCAGAGCGCGGCCTCCCGAGAGAGTCTGGGTCAGGTTAATACTACTGTGGCCCTGAGCCATAAATATATTTACACATCATTACACACAGCCATGCACCCAAATGCACACTTGACACACACACAGAAGACATACAGAGGATGCAGAGGCACAGTCCTAATGAAACATATCAATGACAAATATTAATGCAGTGAGTGTTTACACGATTACGCATGCTCACATTCACATCTCTCAGACCATACAATTCCAAGAATCAATGAAATAACCTTTTCTCCATAATGTATCGCGACACAAAAATACAACACAATAGCCTCAAGGTGTTTAATAATATAATTTGTGATTTTGATTACATCTAAATGTCACTTGAGTTTGCCAACACAAAAATGAAAACATTATTATGCAAATTCAAAAGAGAGATGCAAACCAGAATAGAGGGTGAATTAGTTTCAGCATTAAGTATGGGCAGAAGAAGTGGCTCGTCTGGTAAATGCCTAGAGTAGATGATTTTCCCTATGGCTTCAGTCCCCGGACATGGACATCGACTGCCCTCATTCAGGAGGTCAATATGTTTGGGTTATCATATTCCAACAACATTGTCAGCATGAGCTAGAACTATAGTCAAGTTAAACAACAATGTTGTGAAGTAGTCCTTTTCACGACACCCAAATGCCCTTAAAATAACATTATTCATTCACTCCATACTGGGGGGGATGAACTTCTGTAGCCATAGCTGCCCTGGGGTTGACTTGACATAAGCAAGGATACTATAATACGTGGCATCAGCGCCTCCTACCACCACCAACTAGTAGATTATTTCAGATAATAATGTACATTCAGATAGGGAGCGTATAACTTATATTTTCCAAAATAAGTTCAAAGTCTGTATTACCTCAGAAGAATTATCTGACACGTTTTTGGTTTGACAAAAGGTCAAGTGGTCCATCATGGGTCATCACAGCCCACTTGACATGGTCTGGCTTCTCAGTCAGAATCCTGTCCCACAACATTTGTAGGTGCTTGAATAGACTAACAGTATCTGAAAATTTTGATATCAGACCTCACTATTTCTGAATGAACATTAACTAACACATTTATTGTATGCGTTTTTATGTGCGATTTATTTTCACTTCAGTATTTTAGCATAGGAGACAAGTCAAGTGCCACTCTCATACTTCTCCCCTGCACTTCGCAGTAGTTCACATGAAGTGTTAAAGTCATAGAAGTAATTGCTAAAGGTCAAAAGAGATGGTGTTTTACCAACACATTTGTGTTTATCATTCAGGGCAAATCAATACAATATTGTAGTTTTAAAGAACAAAAGCCAGGGGAGACTTAACACTGACCTTTGCTTCCATTTTCACTTGTGTTTGTGAGGGACCACCAAACATACAAATGAGGCTCACGAGTTTCTGCTACAAGACAAGACTTTAAGGTTGTGCTACCTGAAGAATACTGAAGTTTAATGTTCTTTTTCCCTAAAATAATACATATTTGCATTAATATGCATAAACAAGTGTAAACATAAAAATTGAAAGCCAAACTTCTTGGCTTATAAACGTTTCATTTTCAGGTGTTCTGCTGTAGCCAAAATGAAGGGTCTAAAATAGCATCTCTAACAAGTCCCACAGAGATGGGCGCAAAGACACCATGAGGGCCCACTGCTTCTGGGCTACACCATGTAGTGTGACGACTCAGTAACTCCAACAGGTCCACTTTAGACTTTCGGAGAGTTTTGAGAGACAACCTGGCCAACTGTTAGGTCGTGCTCCGCTGCCTCTGCAGATTTCCCGTCGGCCACATGTCTCAATCAGCCATAATGTCCAAGCGGCTCCTCTTCACCTGCTCTCTCCCCTCTCCTCACCACTTTTTGGGTCTGTTCAGACCCGGTCCTCAGGTGGGAGAAGGGGTATTCATTTGGCTCCAAATTTTGATGAGTTAGCCAAGCGATATGGTTTTCAGCCTTTTTTCCTTTAAATAATGGTTTAACTCACTGTACAAGCTGTACATTCTGCTGACAATCCAAAGAGTGAAGGAGACAGGCTTTTGTTCTCAAACTTGTAACGGCACACAGCAATGGTAGCGGAGTTTACTGTGTCCACAGACTGTCAAGCTAACTGGACTTCATCATGAATAAGACCATTGGTTTAGCTTTTCCTACAACTGTCTGCAGAATGTTGAGAAACGTCGAAGCAACTTTCTTCAAAAAGGAAGACAATTACTCTAGTTGTCATAGCTCACTTTTTTTATAAGCATACACAGCATGATGTTCAAAAAGAAGATAAAAACATGGTGTGTTCTTCAATTCCTTTTTGACTGTAACTTTTTCACTTCTATTACGACTACACAACCTTGAAGTCACAATTGGGTATAGTGGCCCAAAATTGTGCTTTTGATTCCTATCACACTGAAGAAAACACTAATCCACCTTCTTTTTTGAGTCCTTTTTGTTGAGGAAAATGTCCAGAGGAATACAATTAAATATACATAGATCTGC